ACTCAAAATTACAAGGATTGGCCTTCAATAAGGCTTGAACACGAAAAACTACTTCAGAATACATTTGTCGGTCGTAATTTATTCTCATCAGCTCTGCCACTCCACCAAGATATGAACCATCGCAAAACGAACCACCAAAGTGCACCAATACTCTAACACGGTTGCTAGTCATTCAAATAAGTGAACAACAAAAAGAACTAAAAAAAAGAAACAGAAAATTGCAGTAGATGAATGGTGCAGGCGTTAGATTGTTAGAGATCGCTGTTTTTTTGCCTGCATGATAAGTGCAGAGACCAAATCCTCACCTGTGAAAAAACAGTTAATTAATGAGGTGCGCAACTTATACGAAAGATCTGCGAACGAATCTGAATAGTCGTAAAATTGCCAGGTCGATATGGCCCTGCGAAAAAATGGCGCATAATGGTAAAAAAATATGCTTTATTCGATTTGGTTATGTGATTCTTAAATATGCGAGCGAAAAAATGTCACATAATTGTCAATTATCCGGAGGATATATGCGAAATTGTTTCACATATTAGTAAATTATGCGATTGACTTGGATATGCAATTACCAGAAAATGTGTATTCAACAAACTATGCGAATTAGATGCGAAATATTTTCGCAGTCATAAATTTGCAAGGTTGATATAGCCCTGCGATAAGAAGGCGCATAATCATCGTAAATTATGCTGCAATCGATTTGTATATGCGATTATTAAAAATGCGAAAGATGTTCGCACATTTCTAAATTATGCGTTTGATGTGGATATGCGATTAAAAAAATGCGAAATGTTTACGCATTGTCATAAATTATGCGGTCGATTGGATATGCGCTGGTTCATTTGGACATGCGAGTGTAATATCGCATAGCATTTCGTGAGTTTTGGAGTGTAAAAGAAGTTATTTGATGAAGCGGTGTGTAAAAGAAAGAATAGATTTATAATGGTGTAAAAAAAATTTTGACCCAAAATTATATTCTTCCATTCTCTACTATGAAGTAAAGTAAAGGATTGGAGATGGTTTCAAGGACTTCAAAATTCGAGTTCCTAATTGAAGGTGTGCTTGTACTGTATGGAAAAATATCACTCACAAATCACAATCATAGGGATTTATAACGGTCATATATAATCAACACTCATAAACGTGGCGTGCTATAAATATATTTACCTAACCTAATATTGGCATGCTAGTTCATACTACTGCCCTCATTATTATGTGTTTGTATATAAATATCGAAAAATGCTACGGTCCTGTTACAGAACCATTTCGTCAGATTTTGTAACTGTTAGATCATTATGTAACCGTCGGGGATAGTTGGCCGACGAAATTGTTCCGTAACGAGATCGTAGGATCTCCCATAAATATCAATATTTTATTTCGTTCAACGCGTATAATTGACTGAAATCACTATCTTTTACAAACTCAAAGTCCCATATATTCCTACTTCTGAAATCTACAAGCTCCCCCTTCTCTCTCTCTGGTTGATATTTTCTACTTTGTTTACCCTCTCTGTACCAATGGTTGCCGGAGAGAGAGAAACCGCCGCCATAGACATCCCCGCAGCACCACAACTGTCGGCCGACGGCGATGGAACAGTACAAGCATCATCACCGGCTGTTACGGGATCACACACTCAGCAGGTAATTGAGATTTTTTTTTTTTCTTTCATCTTATAATAACTGAAGAAAGTTCTCAGAATTTTAACTTATTGAAGGACTATTTTGATTGTTTTT